CTAATAGACAGAAAACTGTGGAATCATTTAATCTGGAAGACCACTGCTTTCATGAACCAAAAATCTTAGACAGAATCTTAGGCCTATAGAAAAGCTTGCCTAATTTTACTGAATCCACCACTCTCATGTACCTATCAATGTATTTAAATTTTGCCTTGATTTATACATTTGTTGCTCTGTAGAATAATGAAACTTCATAAAATTGATTTCACTTTGTAACATGAGAATTTGGGGTAACCTAAATCTGGGCCATCATCACTCAAACTGACAACAGAATAAACAGTCTCATAACTTTTAATGCAAGGGCTGTGGTTTTGGAAATTATAATGATATGATGAAAAACATAATATAATAAGAACTGGATAGAAAGTTGCCCAAGAGGATAATATTTCACTTTTAACAACACTAACTATATAGGTAGAAATATAAATATTATTACAAAAAAATTATTCTTTTATACATGTATAACAATAGAAATGAGCAATTTGGTAAATGGAAATGATTATATATATGGTAAAATATATGAAATAAGATATTAATTTTTAAAACAAAACGGAATTGTGAAGAGCTAAGCCCCAACATATACATCTATATAACAGCTCATGTATGAAATTGAAAAGTTTCTGTAAAACAAAGGGCACTGTCAATAGAAGAAAAGGACAGCTTAGAGATTGGGAAAATATCTTCACCCACTCTGCATATGACAGAGGGCTAATATCCAGAATATATAAAGAACACAAGAAGTCAAACACCAACAAACCAAGTAATTCAATTAGAAAATGAGGTACAGAGCTAAACATATTATCTCAAAAGATAATGTCAGAGAATGTCAGAGAAACATTTAAAGAAATGCTCAATGCCCTTAGTCACCAGGGAAATGCAAATTAAAATGACTATGAGATTCCACCTCACACCCATCAGAATGACTAAGATAAAAAACCCAAGGGGGATGAAACATACTGGAGAAGTTGTGGAGAAAAGGGAACACTCCTCCATTGCTGGTGGAAATGTAAACTTTTACAACCACTTTGGAAATCAATCGTGTTCTCTCAGAAAATTAGAAATAGTGCTACCTCAAGATCCATCTATACCACTCCTGGGCATATTTCTGAAAGATGCTCAACCATACAACAAGGACATTTGCTCAACTATGTTCATAGCGGTTTTTTTCATTATAGCCAGAATCTGGAAACATCCTAGATGCCCCTCAACTGAAGAATGAATACAGAAATCATGGCACATGTAAACAATGGAACACTACTCAGAAATCAAAAACAAGGAAACCATGAAATTTGAGGGCAAATGGCTAGATCTAGAAAAGATCCTCCTGAGTGAGGTAACCCAAAGGCAGAAAGACACACATGGTATATGCTCACTTATAAGTGGATATTAGCCATATAATATAGGATAAATATACTAAAATACATAGTCCTAAAGAAGCTAAACAACAAGGAGTTGCCTAGGGAAGAGGCTTAATCCTCACTCAAAAGGGCAAAAAGGATAGACATCTGAAGTAGGAGAATACAGGGGACTGGACAGGAGCCTATTACAGAGGGCCTCTGAAAGACTCTACTGATCAGAGTGTCATAGCAGTTTCTGGGACTGATACATATGTGCCCACCTTTCTAGAGGCTTGGGTTAATGGATCCACTCAGTTACAGACTGTGACCTCCAGCAGCATGACCCTAAATAAATACTTTCTCATTGTAATTATATCGTTTCTCATTGGTGAAAAATTGGCTATCTCAATAACAAGAAATTATTAAAATATATGAAAGATACAATACCACAGAAAGATTTCAAGTTGTTCTGCACATTGCTATGTTATTAACAAACTCAAGTGGATTTCCTGGGACTATGCTTCATGATCAGCAACTAGATGGGATGCTGTCTTTGTTCAAGATTAATTTAATATGTCAAAATGTTTAGGTTATAAAAAGCTTTCATGCTAGATAACAACCAGTTTTAGAAGGCTCCTGTAACATATTTCAGCCCCATAGAGACTGCTGCTTGTAACATGAGAATTTGGGGTAACCTAAATCTGGGCCATGAGCACTCAAACTGACAACATCAGTTATTTCACCCTTTCATGTTCACTACAAATTTGGTCAATATTTCATTGGATAAGCAGTGGCTTATCCAAAAGACTGGTTTAATTTTATAAAATGACAAGCAATGAGAAATATGCTGTGGATCTATTAGAAAATCTCCTCAACCTCCTCCTCCTCCTCCTCCTCCTCCTCTTCTTATTCTTTTGTAAAAATAGTATAAAAACAAGAAGTGGTATTTAGGTCTAGGTGTTTAAATAATGATCTTTGATGAGAATACCAGCAAAACAACTGAAGTTCTTAGGGTGCATGTTTGATGAATCAGCTTTCTAAGAATGACCGCAAACAATAAACCTGGAGAACTTTGCTAAAATACTCAACAGCTGGCTCTAGAATTTTTGTTTGACTTTATCTCACTCAAAATGCTGAAATTTCTTATTTTAATATAACTTTATGTTCGTCAACTTTCTGAGATAAGACTAAACATCTATGAAAAAAAAAGCTAGCAAAAATTTAGTGACAAAGCTACCCTAATTGTTCATCTTTACTGTCATAATTAAGTGTTTAGTTATATACAACCTTGCACACATTTTATTAGACTTAACTCTTGTGTTCTTCTTAGTGGACATTGAACAATTATAGTAATTTTGCCTCAAATACAAATCATAGATCTATTTCTATTTTATAAATTATATATAAATATCACACATACAAACAGAGAAAGATAGAGGGAGGGAGAAAGGTAGGGAGAGAGAGAAAAATAATGAGAGAGAGAGAGAAAAAATTGGCTAGTAGGATTCCAACAGAAGGTATGACTTGAGAACTGCAACTTGTCCAATTGATTTTTCATCTGTAACAAAAATGCAATGAATAAATACAAAATCAATAACCAATTCCAGGGATTAATTTCATAGGATCAAAATGTGCTCTAGTATAAGCACCAAAAATAATTCATTACTGGTTTGTTAACTTGACAGGGCCATTTTGAAACGTGCCTTCTAAATTATTAAATTAGTGCTTATCCAGAGTCATGCATTGAAACAAGGTGGAAAAAAAAGGCATAGTAGAAGAGGACTTCCCCTATCAGTAGACTTGGGGAGGGGCATGCATGAGGAAGGGGGATGGAGGGTGAAATCGGGAGGGGAAAAGGGAGAGGCTTATGGGGGAATACATAATTAATAAAGTGTAATTAATAGTAAAAAAAAATATTTAAAAAGGCATAGTAACTGCAGCTGTTCATTCCTCTATTCATCACAACTACTCTACATTTTTATCTAGAAGACATTTAATTTTTAAAATAATTTTTTCTATGCAAGGAAATCAATAACTTGCTTAAACCTATCTAATGAAAGAATACACTATGAGTGAATTAAGATGGATAATTAACTAAATTCCTTAAGGGCAGACATTTCTAGTGAATCCCAACAATACTCTCAAGAACTAGCTTAATTACCAAGTATTCCATATAATTTTTGCTGGGCTCCTTATCAGAATATCCCCTTGTCTCTTTGAATCTAATTCTACAGTTTTCTATCTAATGTGGGAGTCAACTGCATATCTTGTGTAAGCATCTTGGGATATACATTTGCTATTATGAATTGCTACCATCTATGAATATATAAGTATGATTTGGCCACCTCTATACCATTTGAAGGGTTCATCTGAAGAATATTCAAGGAGGTTTAACTTTTGGTGGAATTGATATGAACTATAAAAATTAGATAGCTACCATTGTTATAGTTTATACTGAAAAACTTACCATTGCAAAATAATTCTCTGACATGAATATTTACAATTGTTCTTTATAGGTCTACCAATAAAAATGAATGTAATTAGCAGACCTGGTATAAAATGACTTTGGTAAGCAAATAACTTTAACACAAGGAAAAAAAAAAGAAATTCTGAAATTAATTTTTTTAGTGACCATACATGTTGGGATAGCATCATTAATCTTCCTGGATCAAAAAATGGAAAATACAGGGTTGGTTATTATGATTCTTCTCCTCTGGATGGTCAACAGTTTTCAAAGCAACTTAATTTCTCTAATCATCAGAATACTATATTTATTATTATAAAATGTTAGCCAATGTTGTGCTAGTACAGGCCTTTATTTCTATAACACCAATGGCCAATACCTAACTTAATTTTACTATTATGTCCAATATTCCAATATATGCCTATGCTTATATTTAGAATATAGAACTCCAAGTAGGCACATCTATATACAAAATAAAAGTATCAGTGGGTATTTTTCCCATACTTTCTCTTTCTAGTTGGTTCATACCAACTAGACAAACAAATACCTCTAAACAAACAAATATTGTCTTTTTTACTAACCCAAATCCAACTGAATAATCTAAGACATCCAATATTTACAATGTTTTAGGTAGAACAGATTTGATCATAGTGACATCTTCCTTTATCTGAATCATTTTAGCATATATCTATCTCTATTGATATTTAGTATATAAGACTATTATCTTGTAGTAGGCATATAGTTTGCTAATCAAAGTTATCTACATACTTGATTAAGTCACAAATTGTGTATTTTATCTACCAGTACCTGAAAGTAACAGGGAGTACATCACATACTAAGAATATAACATGTTTTCATTATTGTCAGTGAAAACTTTGGCTAAAATGTCAAATAGAATTTTTATTTGTAGGTCAATTTACATTTATATGTATATATACAAATATATTATAAAATGTTCTTCCAAAACCAAAGTATTTTTTCATTTCAAACAGCAGTAATATATATAATAACACATAATTACTTAAATTTTAGATAATCAGAGCATTTATTGAGAATCAAATTTGCATTTCCATAGTTCAACCCATGAAAATATGATTCAATTTAAATTTAAAGTGTATGAGTGCAGGGAAATTATAAATGAAGAAATGAATCAATTACATAAACTTTGAAAGGTATCTGTGATTAAAGGTACTCACCTGTATGTTTAAATCAAAGCCAATTTCACAAAAACTATTTGTAATAATCAAGCAATTGTGCACATACTGTTCGGGATATTTTGGTTGTGTATACATATTTATAAGATAAGACTCAATCTGGAAGTTAAAGCAAAGACAGCTTTAATTAATTAATGGAATAACAACAGGTAAGTGTAGGTTTCCTTGGTAGGATCATTTGGATTTTAGCATCTGAAACAAAATATTCCAGTCAGAACTTAAGAATAAACAAAAAGGTAATAGCATTCATGTTTCTGAGTCAGAATTAAGGTATTTAAAAAGGCAGCTTACAGTAAATAAACTTCAAAACTAAGTCACTAACTTTTCTCAGACTGAAGACTACCATTGGACAATGAAATAATTCTTACCAAAAATGGACAATATGCTGCTAGCTGTGTAGCAAAAACAAGGCCATCAAAAAGGTCTGCTTCAAAATTCACTATCCATCTCTCAGAAGGAACACCTATTTTGAATGAAAGAAAAGAAATATAATATTTTAATTATTGAAATATATTTTACAGCAATTTGAAAAAACAAAGAAAGCTATATATTAATTTTATACTAAAACCATAATTTTAAAATATGATTTTCAGTCTATACTGCAGAAGCTTTCAGAGGCCCTCTGTGGCAGGATTCAAGGTTGTTTCCTGTTTTCTTCTGGCTTTCAGAGGCCCTCTGTAGCAGGTTCCGAGGTTGTTTCCTATTTTCTTTTTCTTCTGATGTCCATCCTCTTTGCCTTTCAGGATGGGGATTGAACATTTTAGTTAGGGTCCTCTCTTTTGCTTAGTTTGTTTAGATGTACAGATTTTAGTGGGTTTATTCTATGTTGTATGTTTATATGAGTGAGTATATACCATGCGTGTCTTTTTGCTTCTGGGACAACTCACTCAGGATGATCCTTTCCAGGTCCCACCATTTACCTGCAAATTTCATGATTTCCTTATTTTTCATTGCTGAGTAATACTCCATTGTATAGATGTACCATAGTTTCTGCATCCATTCTTCAGTTGAGGGGCATCTGGGTTGTTTCTAGCTTCTGGCTATTACAAATAAAGCTGCTACAAACATGGTTGAGCAAATGTCCTTTTTGTGTACTTGCGCCTCTTTTGGGTATATGCCTAGGAGTGGTATGGCTGGATCTTGAGGAAGCGGAGCCTGATGGCCAACTGATGGGCAGAGTGAATGGAATTTCATGTAAGAAGTGGGAAATAGTAAGAGCTGGAGGGGACAGGAACTCCACAAAGAGAGCAACAGAACAAGATAATTTGAACACATGGAACTTCCCAGAGACTCATACTCCAACCAAGGACTATTCGTGGAGATGACCTGGAACCCCTGCACAGGTGTAGCACATGGCAGTTCAGTGTCCAAGTGGGTTACATAGTAATGGGAAGAGGGACTGCCTCTGACATAATCTGATTGGCCTGCTCATTGATCACCTCCCCCTGAGGGGGGAGCAGCCTTACCAGGCCAGGGTAGAGGACAATGCAGCCACTTTTGATGAGAACTGATAGACTAAGATAAGAAAAGAGAGGAGAACCTCCCCTATCAGTGGACTTGGGGAGTGGCATGCATGCAGAAAGGGGAGGGAGGGTGGGATCGGGAGGGGAGGAGGGAGGGGCTTCTGGGGGGATACAAAATGAATAAAGTGTAATTAATAAAAAATTAAAAAAAGAAAAAAATATGATTTTCATGAATAATAGGTATGATGGTTATCTTTGGCAACCTAATACAACTAGAGTTACCTGGGAACAGTCTCAACAGGAGACTGTGTACACTGGATTGGCTATGAGAATATGTATGCAAGTGGTACTATCTTAATTATATTAACTGAAGTAGAAACAACTGGTCAGTTATGGCGGACAGCAATCTCTCGGTAGAGTGCTGAACTGTGTTTGAGTGGGAAAAGTGAGCAAGTTGTGTATGTACTCATTTCTCTCAGATCTTGGCTACAGAAGTAATGTGAGTTGCTGTTTGAAGCTCCCAAGTTGACTTCCCTACAATATAAACTGTAACTCACTATTATAAGCTGAAATAAATCTTCTTTATCTCTAAGTTGCTTTTAGTCAAAGTATTCTATCATGGCAACAAAAATAAAACAAAAGCACTAAAGCACTATGAAATATCTCCGTACAACCTAAAACTAACTGCAGGTTAGATCTTACTGGTACATGAGCAACTCTGAAAAACACCACTTCACATACTAATAAAACAGAAATCTCACTTTTTGCAATTACACAATTTTCACTTTTCCACCTTGAATTATAACTGCCAAATAAAATTATATTCATGTAAAATGAATGTGGTAATTTGGTTTATATGTGCCTTCTACAATAATCTCCTAAAAAATCAAGCTAATTGGGAACTTTGCATATTTATCATTGTTTGTGTATATGGTTTATGGTATTTGATAAAAGTACTTCTCCTAATTTGGAAGCCAGGTTTTTCTTTATTTCTGTTATTTTTTTTAATATTAGTTAGTTTATTAACTTTGTATCCCAACTGTATCCTGCCCCCTCATTCGCTCCCAATCCCAACTTCACTCCCTCATCTCCTTGCCTCTTTCCAAGTCCACTGATAGGGGAGGAACTTCTCCCCTTTCATCTGACCCTGGTTTATCAGGAATCTTCACGACTGGCTGCCAAGTCCTCCTCTGTGGCCTAGCAGGGCTGCTCCTACCTCAGCGGGGTGGGGAGGTCAAAGAGCCAACCATTGAGTTCATGTCAGAAATAGTCCCTGTTACCTTACTAAGGTACCCACTTGGATACTGAGCTACCATGGGCTACATCCAACATCCAACGAGAGGTTCTAGGTTATATCCATACATGGTCATTGGTTGGAGAAACAGTCTCATAAAAGACCCCTGTGTCCAGATATATTTGGTCTTTGTGGAGCTCCTGTTCTCTCCAGGTCACACTGACTCCTCCTTCTTTCATAGGATTCCCTGCACTTTGCCCAAGGTTTGGTTATGAGTGTCAGTATCTGCTTCGATACATTGCTAGGTAGAGTCTCTCAGAGGCCCTCTGCGGTAGGCTCCTGTAATGTTCCTTGTTTTCTCCTACATCCCATTTATCTTTCTAAGGGAGGATTGATCATCTTACCCAATGTCTTATTTCTTGTTTATCTTCTTTATGTGTATAGATTTCAGTATGTTTACCATATCTTATAGGTCTATATAAGTGAGTATATACCATATGTGTCTTTCTCCTTCTGGGATACCTCACTCAGAATGATCTTTTCTAGATCTCACCATGTGGCTTCAAATTTCAAGATTTCCTTGTTTTTAATTGCTGAGTAGTATTCCATTGTGTAAAAATACCACAATTTCTGTAACCATTCCTCCATTGATGGATATCTGGGTTATTTCCAAGTTCTGGCTATTACAAATAAAGCTGCTAAAAACATGGTTGAGCAAATGTCCTTGTTGTGTACTTGAGCATATTTTGGATATATGCCTAGGAGTGGTATAGCTGGATCTTGAGGAAACACTATTCCTAATTACCTGAGAAAGCACCTGATTGATTTCCAAAGCGGTTATACCAGCTTAGATTCCCACCATCAATGGAGGAAAGTTCCCCTTTCTCCAAAACCTCTCCTTCGTGCATTGTCACTTAAGTTTGATTTTAGATATTTTGATGTATGTAAGCTGAAATCTCAGGGTCGATTTGAAATGCATCTCTCTGATGGCTAAGGACATTGAACATATCTTTAAGTGTTTCTCTGCCATTCTATATTCCTCTACGGAGACTTCTCTATTTAGCTCTGTACCCCATTTTTAATTGGATTGCTTGATTTGCTGTATTTTACCTTCTTTAGTTCTTTATATATTCTGTATATCAGCCCTCTGTCAGATATAGGATTGGAGAAGATGTTTTCCCAGTCTGTAGGCTGTCATTTTGTTCTCATGACATTGTCTTTTGCTTTACAGATGTTTTTCAGTTTCATGAGATCCCATTTATTTATTGACACTCTTAGAGCCTGTGCTGTTGGTGTTCTGTTTAGGAAGGTGTCTCCTGTGCCAATGAGTTCTAGGCTCTTCCCCACTTTTTCTTCTAACTGATTTAGAGTATCTGGTTTTATGTTGAGGTGTTTGATCCACTTGGAATTTAGGTTTGAGCACGGTGATAAATATAGATCTATTTTCATTTTTCTGCATGTAGTCATCCAGTTGGACCAGCACCATTTGTTGAAGATACTGTCTTTTTTCTATTGAATGGTTTTGGCTTCTTTGTAAAAAATCAAGTATTCATAGCTGTGTGGGTATATTATTGGGTCTTCTATTCGGTTCCATTGATCCTCCTTTCTGTTTCTATGTCAATACCATGTGTGTTTTATTACTATTGCTCTCTAGTACAGCTTGAGGTCAGGGATGGAGATACCTCCTGACAATCTGTTGTTCAGGATCATTTTGGAAAATGTGGATTTTTTTGTTTTTCCATATGAATCTTTCTTTGAAAGTCTGTAAAGTATTGTGTTAGTATTTTGATGGGAATTGCGTTGAATCTGTGGATGCTTTTGGCAGGATGGCCATTTATACTGTATTAATCCTACCAATCCATGAGCATGGGAGATCTTTCCATTTTCTGATATCTTCTTCAATTTCTTTCTTCAGAGAATTAAAGATTTTTTGTTTTGTTTTGTTTTGTTTTGTTTTGTTTTGTTTTGTTTTCAAACAGATCTTTCACTTGCTTGGTTAGAGTCACACCAAGGTACTTTATGTTATTAGTGGGTATTGTGAAGGGTGTTGTTGACATGATTTCTTTCTTGGCCAATTTGTCTTTGGCATACAGGAGGGCTTCTGATTTTTTTGAGTTGATTTTGTACCCAGCCTCTTTGCTGAAGCTGTTTATCATTTGAAAGAGTTCTCTGGTTGAATTTTTTGGGATCGCTAGTGTATACTAACATATCATCTGTGAATAGTGATACTTTGACTTCTTCCTTTCGGGTTTGTATCCCCTTGAAATCCTTTACTTGTCTTATTGCTTTAGCGAGGATTTCAAGTACCATGTTGAAGAGATATGGAGAGAGTGGGTAATCTTTTCTTGTCCCTGATTTCAGTGGGATTGATTTAAGTTTCCTCCACTGAGTTTGATGTTTGATGTTGCCTATACACTTGCTCAATATTGCCTTTACTATGTTTAGGTATGTGTTTCTATCCCTGATCTCTCCAAGACTTTAAACATGAATGGCTGTTGGATTTTGATAAATGTTTTTCTGGCATCTAAGGAGATGATCATGTGGTTTTTCTCTTTCAATTTGTTTATATGGTGGATTACAATGATGGATTTCTGTATGTGGAACCACCCTTGCATGCCTGGGATGAAGCTTACTTGGTCATGGTGGATGATATCTTTTTTTAACTTTTTTTAATTTTTTTTTACTATTAATTACACTTTATTCATTTTGTATTCCCCCATAAGCCCCTCCCTCCTCCCCTCCCGATTCCACCCTACCTCTGCCTTC